TACACAGGCAAAGGCACCATCAGCATCACGGCTCTGAAAAGCACAGTGGGATCTTCAGTGACCACCAGTGGCCACATCTGTGGTTTTTCTCTGGATCCAAGTGCATGCAGGGCCCTGGAGCTGCATGCTGCTCCAGCCTTGCTCAGGAATGACTCACAGGACACGATTCTTCCCTCCTGCAACGCCCAGGACTTTTCCCCTGCTCTTCCCAGCCCTGGCTGTGCCTGGTGTGTGTGAGAGGGGCCCAGATCAGAACTCACCATGTTTCACAGGACTCTGCTTTAATTCTGCAGGCTTTCCTGTGCTGCATCTTCATCCAGCTGCTAGTAGTTGTTGTTTTTTTTTTTTTCTGGTGTTGATGGAAGCAGCTTCATGGAACTACCATAAGCTGCCTCTTAGCAATGACCTATTAGTGAAGCCAACAATAACAGCAGTGTCTAGACCATCTGAACACAGCTAAATTATTCCTTTGTCCCTTCCTCCTTTGCTGTCTCTCCTGACTCTTGAATTGTTTTGGGTGGTCCCTGTTGACCTTCAGGCTTTCTATTTCTCTCATTTTCTTTTTTTTTTTTTTCTTTTTTCTCTCTTTGAGCAGTGAACTTGCTGTACTAAGTCTGAAAGTCCAGGTTCCTCTCTCTCTCACGCAGGCTGGAGCCAAGGCCAAGTAGCAGCAGTGGAAATGTGTCTCTGAAGGGCACAGATGTGTCATCTGCTGGCTTTTTGCTTTCACTCCCTGGCTCATCTTGCCAAGTAGCCAAATGCCCCAGATTCATACTGGCAGTGCCTGAGACTTGTGAGTCTTAACATCTTTCAGAACTGAAAAGCTGATGAGAGAAGGAGGCATTCTGTTTTTGATATAGGATCCTGCCAAAATGGATGAGTGTATTTTATTAAAAATATAAACCCTGTCTGCTGGAGCTCCACTGGTCACTGCGTCCTGGGAGTGCTCTTGGCTTTCTGCTCCTGTGTGTTCCTCTCTTCTTTGTGGCTATGGATATTTCCCCCCACCCCCAAACCCCTGGGAAATTAATATCTTTTGAAACATCTATTATTTTTGGTTGGAATTGATCCTTGCTTGGATGGGCTGGCGGTGTGATCAAACAAGCTTTGTCACTGGAAGCTGTTTTAAAAAGCATAAAATAAAGTGTGTTGGTGGAAAGTAGAGAAGAAAGAAAAGAGTTTCCTACTAAGGGAAATAGCTGAAAGCTGAGGATGGAAGAAGAGACATTGGGGACAAAGGGATCCTACTAAACACAATTTATTTTTATGTTTCATTTTTACTGTCTCTGTAATCAGCTTTTCTCTGTCCTGATCTTCCATGGTAGAAATAATCCTGTTTACATGTTGTGTCGGAGATCAAGTGGGATTTGTTGTACAATTCGTCCTGTCAGCCCACAATACCTTAAGTGAATTTGTGCAAAACGATGCCAGAGTGGAGCTGGGCCAGGAGGTTGTTCAGGAGCAGGAACCTGCTCACGTTGCACAAAGATTTCCAGGAGTCTCCCAAGTCCATCTGAGCTCCAAGGATACTTCATCGGTGTTGTGCAACTCGCAGCTGTTTTGTTCTGGAGCCACGGCAGGGCCTGGGGAGGTGTTTGCTGTGCAGCCTCAGTGCTGCCTTCTCACAAGGCTGGAGAATATTTGGGTCCTGCCAGGGCTGGATCAGGAGAACAGGATTTTTCCTGTCCCTTGGGCACGGGATTCCTGACAATTGGCATTTTATCCCAGGTTGAGGCATCCATCCTTCACCCTCTCCTGACTCAAACCAAGCCAAACAGAGAAGGAGCAGCCTGTGACGCCCCTTTTGCTGGAAGGGCTCGGGAGTGGCATTTGGATTTAATTATCCAGTTAGCTTCAGTGCTCGTTTGAATTTTGACTGCACTGGCTGAGCTGGCTGCCTATTTCCATGGAACAAAGTCCTCCACCCTTCTTGGGAGTCAGCTTGGAGACCCCAAGAGCGGTAATTAGGATGGGCAAGAGGTTCAGTCTGGAAAGCATCAGTCCCTGTGCAAAGCTGTCCCGGAGAGGACTGGGAAGTGTCGGTTTTGCAACCGATGATGCAAATTGTGCTGCCGCTCAGAAGTTGCTTCAGAGCCTGCTGTGGGGGTTTTTGTTTTGATCAGTTGGGGCTTTGGTCATTGCCTCCCTGAAATCCTGGTTCTCTTGGAGTAAAAACACACTGTTAAAAGCAGCTGAAAAATACTTAAGCACGTAGAAATACGTTTGTTTAAGGAAATGCGGCATTTCTGCTTGTGCTTAAGTCATCTTTCACCCTCCAGCAGCAGCAAACAACCTTTCCTGCTTGTACAGGAAGAAGTTTCCTTATCTTATTTTGTAGCAGTGATGTCATGGATGTGGATTTTTGTTTTTTTGACAATCAGCACTCACGTTTTGTAATTAAAAATCCTCAGATGCTTTACAGGATGCTCTTTTGCATGGGTTTTTAGTAGTTTAAGGAAGGAAAATGCTGATTTGACAGTCAAATACAAGAAATAGCTTCTCTTTCCTATTTTTTTCTTCAGTACTTGATTCAGGACAGCTGGAGCTCAGTTTTACAACACTTATTCTAGGGCTATTAAGTTGATAGTTGGGTATTTCTGGAAACCAGCAGAATTTAAGCAGTTACTGAAAGTGAATGGATTCTCCTTGCTTTGCAATGTCTGGAGAGATGCAGAAAGTCACTTCTGGCAGAGATTTTTAGCTTGACTTCCTAAGAAATGTGACTTACCGTGAGCTGGGTTTGCAGCACCAGGAATTTTTCAACTTGTGTTTGGTGGAAGTCTGTTACAAAAAAAGGTTTGGCACGATTGCTGTGTAGATAGAGGAGGAAAACAATGTGATATAAACCAGGGCACTGCTGGGTTAACCAGAGATTCCTCTCCTGGAAGGTGCTGCCAGGCATGGCCAGGGAGGTTTGGAGGTGGGAGAGGGGTGGGGAATTGGGTGGTTTTGCTGCCAGGCTCTGTCTGCCTGCTGGCCCTGTTGGCCCATGAAATACAGATTGTGTTTTGTGTCAGGCAGTTCAGGAAAATTTTGTTGTCACTCGCTGGAAAAAAAAAAAAAAAAAAAGGGCTGAGGGGCACTGTAGAGATTAAAGCTTTGGTGGAAAATTCCTGGAGGGCAGCGTAAGGGGGTTTTGTTTTTGTGGGTTTGTTTTAGCTCATCCCTCCCCCGTTCCCTTCCACCTTCACAAAATAAGAATAAAAAAAGGCAAAAAAAGAGTTTTTCTTCCTTTTTTTATCTGTGTTGGGTACTTTCCTACTACAAAATCTGTGTGGAAAACTATGCTTGTCCCAGAGGTCCTTTAAAAAAAACCCAAAACAAACCAAACCAACAACAACAAAAGAAAAATACCCCAAACCCAGGCTTTGGGGATGTTTTTGATGTGTTTCTTTTTTTGTTGTTGTTGTGGTTTTTTTGTTTTATTTTTCCCTGAACTTGAACTGAAAATTATATATTTCTTAAATTTTTTCCTGTGCTCCCTGCCACCTCTCTGGAAAAACAAACCTGTGCTTTTAGTAACTAGGGAAACGTGGAATGCAAAAGGGATTACATTTTAATGTACTTAGGTATGAATTTTATTATTTTTATCAATTATATTTTTAATATTGATGTACAGATATATGTTTCTATGTTAAATATGTATACACACATTGCCAACAGGAAAATGTAGGTTTTTCCTAAGAATTAATTGTAGGCATTGGAGCTCATTTCTGAGCTCTGAAATATAAGACTGAATTTTAAACATTTTCTTCCTTATTTCTTTAATAAACTCCAGGAGCAGAGCATGCACAAGAAGTCTTTTTCTCACATATCTGGGGTTTTTTTTCATAGTGTCTGTGCTCATAGAACCCAGCAGGAGGAGCAGAAAAAGAGGAGATGGTATTATATCTGAGCACGAGGATCCAGGACATGCTCCTCCCTGGGGAAAGATCCTCAGTGTTTGGGTCCAGTCCTGTCTGATTTCATATGGTTTTTGTCATATTTCACATATTTGTGGACTTTGAGTTAAATCTGCAGGCTGGCCTGGTGCAGGGGTGGTTCTGTCCCGGGAGACACTCTTTTTTAAATAAGATTTGTAGCTGTATTTGTATTTTCTACATTAATAGCTGTGTGTGCCTAACATTTGCCTTGCCTGTATCACGAGCACGGAGTGCGCAGTGGGTTCTCACTCCCTCCTAACCAGTGTGCCCTGCCCTAGGTCTTGACAAGGTTCTTAGTTCTTGTGGTGGGTATTTTGCATTTTAAGACTCCAAGAGGTCACAACCACTGCTGCCAAAGTGTTGAAAAGGAGGAGATTGGTTTCAGATCCAATGGTCCCTCAAAGTTCTCCCATTACTGCAGAAATCAGGAATCCCATGAGGGCTCTCAGTGTCTTCCACCCAGCATTGCTGAGTTTCTCTCTTTTCTCAAGGATTCCTTGCCCTCTCCCCTTGTTTCTCACTGCCTCTGGTTTTGGAAGTCAGTTGTGGCTCTTGAGCACCTTTAGTGAAGGGGGAGGAAAGGCAGGGACACCTTTCACTAGCCCTGGTTCTTCCAAGACCCATCCAACCTGGCCTTGGACATGTCCAGGGCTGGGGCAGCCACAGCGTCTCTGGGCAAGTGTGCCAAGGCCTCACCACCTTCACAGAGGAAAATTTCTTCCTTATATCCAGCCTAAACCTGTCCTATTTCCATTTAATGGCATTTTCTGGTGTCCCATCACTGCATGCCCTTATCAAGAGTCCTTCTCCAGCTTTCTTGCAGGCCCTTTCAGGTGGGGACAATGAGATCTCATCACCTGTCTCACCTGTGATGAAGGAACCTGTATTTTCAAGACAGAATGGGCTGGGAGAGGCTGTGGTGGCCTCTTGGAATGCCTCTCTTAGCAGGAAGGCTTGGCATTGTGTCTTTTGATCCATTTGTGTTGGAAGTTTATATTTGCAGTGCTGTATTTTCACTCTGTGCATCTGACACCAGGGTTGTCTTCCACATTTCAATTGTCTCTTCTTTTCTTGCAGATGAAGAAGAAGCTCTGAACTCTATTATGAAGGATTTGGCAGCGTTGGGCAAGTGTGGGGGGCTGCTGGACAACAACAGGAATAAAAACAGCGTCCACTCCAACAAACAGGTTTGTTTCTTGCAATGCATCGTTTCTTCAGTCCACCTCAAACTCCAGCAGCCGCAGAGATCTTGCCATGCTGGTGGAGCAGAGCTTAAATGTAAGAACTGAAGTTAACAAGTGCTCAGCACATTGGAAATATCATAATTTTACCAAGTAATGAGATTTTATTGCCTCTTTTTGAAGAGCTGGAAGGAAGTTACAGGCATCCCTATATCACAGAGGAGAAGAGAAATGTCCCAAATTATTCACAAATACAACAACTGAGCCTGAAACTGGATTTAAATCTTGAGTCCCACCTCAAGGCACTTCTAACTGTTGTTTAGCTCTGAAAGTAGCAGAACTTGTTTCTGTGCAGCTTTTGTAGTTGGATAAGTCAATTGTTTTCTATTGACAGCGTTAATGAAATACAATATTTATTATGTGCACATTTTACTTCAGATATTTGAAAGACAGACTGCCAATTCTGAGCTGTAGACACCCAGGCTCTTTGGGGAGGAATAATGTCATTCTTATATAAAGTGTTTAATTATGAATTACTGCTGTTTATCTTTATGCTCCTAAAACCAAACCTTTTGGCCCTGTTGCACATTCAGAGTTGTTTGGTGAGCAAAAAACATTGTCCCTTGAGCAACGTCAGAAATTATTTGCTGACATTGCTACAATAGCTGAAGTGGATTTAATAGCATGTTTGTGTATGGAGCAAATATTACGCGAACACAAAAGTTGTGAAGAAAGAATTCAGCTGTCAAAATAGCAAGAGAAAAAGGGAGAGAAAGATTAGGACAACTGGGAAGCTGCTGGAGAGGCATGGCAGCAAATCCACTTGGAATTCCACCTCCAGCGCCGTGGTTTAGAATGAGCTTGCAGTCAACTCTGCAACCGCTGGATGCCTAGCAAGGAAGAAAACAAATTGTCATTTACTGTCGTCATGCATTTTTTAACGACACTTGTGCTACAAGCAAAGAAGTCTGGGTGCAGAGAGGAAAAATCCCTTCCCAAATCCCTCTGGGCTTCCCAGCTGCATGCAGACGAAAACACGTGCGCACGTCTCGTTTCAAAGCGTGTCCTGGCGGTAGCAGCTGCCCAAGTTGAATCACTGGGTTTGTGTTCAGCTCATACTGAAATAAGTCCAAGATGTTTACAGAACTGACCAGAGACACTGGGGGCTGGCTCTCTGCAGCTGCAGGAGGAGCAGAAAACCCAGCGCAGCTTTGGATGGCTGCGAGGGCAGCATCGTGTGCACGGTGATGGGTGGGGACCGCGTGGAGCCAGCTCTGAGTTGCTTTCAGGGTAGCAAAGCTTTTCAGGCTCCTCTTAAAACATTTGTTTTGCGCAACGAGGGAAAGTCCCTGCTGTCGTTTTTGAGACCTGGGCTGTTAATGCAGCACATACACAGTTAACTAGTGGAAAATAAAGTTATAGTTTTCATTGATTGAATTCTTATCTGCATAAAGTTGGCAGCTTGCAATCAAATTTACAACCACAGCCTGTCCACTCTGCATCTTCATTTAGAAATCACCAGTGGAGGTATGCTGTGCTCTGATTTAGAATAGTTGGCTGCCAGTTGTGTTTAATTTTATTATGGCAGGAATCAAATTCCCTCTTATTAGAGCACTGATGCTTCTTCCTTTATGATTTTTCTTTTTATCCATAAGTGTAGCAGCTGTAGCCACGTGCTCAGGGCTGCTCAGAGCTCTCTGATGGGGGAGATGTGGATGGTCAGAATCCTGTTCTCCACAGACATCCGGAGCTGGGGGTTCAGACCAGCAGGCCCCAGGAGATGAAGGGCGTTGGAGGATGTTGAATTGTTGCCTCACTTAATTGGACTAGCTGGAACACGTCTGGCTCGCGGCACGGCGAGTTTGGGAGGTGGGGAGTGGCCAAAGGAGGTGGAATTAGTGGGGACTCAGTTCATTTTTGTAGTTCAAGCTTAATCAGCCTGTTTGGCTCACTTTTAGGTTTGGGTTGTTTTTTTTTTTCCTTGTTTTTATGACAGAAATTGAGGGGGAGAGATTGCTTTAGAAATGCTGTTGTCGTGCCTGTGATTTGTTGTTCCTTTGGAACTTGGTTTTCCCTTTCTGTTTGTTTTTTTGCTGTGATTAGGTTGGCCAGTTGGGCTGAAGGATGCCCTGAACACTTTCCCTTCTTGGAGGGGGAATGAGGCACGAGGGCATTTTGGTGATAAAATGTCCTCTTGGTCATCTCGTTGTTGGTGCCTCTCATGAGGTTTGATTCCTGCTATAATAAATATAGTGCTCACATTGAACTACTTGGGTTTGGGAGTTCAGTTAGCAGATTAATAAGATAATATTTCTTTTTCTGTGGAAAAATGTTTTTTCTGAGGCATGGGAATCCTTTAGTCAGTGTTCCAAATTTCCACTGAAAGACAGAGTTCACAGCAAGAATGTGTTGGCTAACTAGGCAGTTCTCTGTGGCTTGCAGCAGTTTTTTGGTACACAGAGAAACACAACCAAAGTGCTATCTCATTCCTGTCTCCTGGAGGGCTTCCTTAGTGCTCTCTTGACACAAGTTGAAAATTGAATCCTGCCAGATTGTATTCCTGGTAGGCCTGGGCCACACAAGAAAACAGCCTGTGGTGGTGTGCACTCCAAAATATTTCTTTCCCAAAATATTGATAGTTTTGCTTCAGTTCATCTTTAGAAATGAACATCCTTTGGCAAATTTGGCAGCAGATGTGATGGCTGAGCTGGAATCTCCTGAATCCTGGTCAGGTGCAGCAGCCACCACATGGTCCTGCCTCTCTGCCATGTGGGAATTACAGGGACAGACATGGACACCCTTTTACCTCCTCGTGTGAGTTAAAGCCGTTCTTTGAGAACAGAGGGATCATTCTGACATTACTCCTAGTGCAGCTTCTGCACTGGTATTCTTCTGTTACTCCTTTAATCACTCTGGTATTCCCTGTGCATCCTCTGCCTGGCTGGAAGGAATCCTTTCAGGCTACCTCTTGGACTGAACAAGGGAGTTTGTTCATAGGAATGACTCTGAAGAGGGGAAGAAGGAAACAGGAGAATGAAGATCTGCGTTGTGTTCATTAAGGAAAAAGATGAGTGGGATAAGAAGGGAAACCTTGAATAATTAGGAAATCCTGAACAAAAGGATGGAGGGAGAAAAGAGCAATTAAATTGGCATTTATTTTGTATCTATTTATGTGCACATCCATTCATTTCTATAAATAGCACTTGGCAACTGGCAGTATGAAGCTGCTTGTCTGTGGGCCTCTGTCACTGCCAGTGACAGCCAGCAGCTCCTCTGCCCCCCTAATCACCATGGCAAGTTCTCCCACGGCAATTAAATATTTGTAGGAAGTGTTTCTCCATGTACATCAAATGTCAGACTGTCCTAGAAGTTGTGCTTTTAGTAAACTACCCCTGGACTCCTCTCTTTGGCAAGCTGGATGCAAGACAAGGCTTGCTCATAATTCCAGTAAAATACTGGATCATTTTGTAGGGCTCTCTGTGGGTCTTCGAGCAGCCTAAGGAAGGAGTTTGGCTTTGTCAGCCGTGTTTTACATTTGGAGGATGTGATGTGGATGGGGGAAGATGGGAGTCTCTGTGAGGGGATCTGCAGGGATTTCCCCACCTGGGGAGCAGAAACAAGGGGCCAAGAGGGAGCATCACTGACTGGGAGAGCCTTGGCTGGAGATGGCAAAGGCAGTGGAGTCCCAAGGATTTAAGAGGCTTTCCCATGTCTACATGTGGAGCTGACTTGGGTGTGAAGAGGGTGATACCAGTGAGAAATCCAGCTGGAGAAAAGCTATTCCCTGCCAGGTGGGTGGTTTTAGATAAACATTTTGAAGCCTGTGATTCCTGCTGCTGTCTGAAACAGCAATGTCTGTAACAGGTGGCAGTGAACCTTCTAGACATCATCTTCCCACTGTCCTCTGAGCTGCTCAGGTGCTGGACTTGCTTTCGGAGGGAAAAAAGCTACAAGGCTCCAGGGAGGCTGGGATATATTGTGCCTTCTGCCCCTGCAATGAGAAGGGGGCAATACCAGACAAACCCCTTTCTGTCTGATTGCTGAATAAGCCGGCGTGCGTGGGGGTTCTGTGCAGATAATTCCCAATGACGTGGATTAGTCATCTCCTCTTGCGGTCTGGGGCCGCGCTCCAGCTGTCTGGCGTGTGAGGAACGTCCCGCTGCCGAGGGCAGGGGCGAGCGCAGGGCTGATGCAAACCTGCACCTTGGGGAAGTGTGGGAGTCCCCTCAGCCTGGGCCTGTGGTGCTGATTCCTCTTAGCCAGAGCCAGGAGTTGAGGAGGAATCCCACCGCTTTGTGGCTTTGTACAAAGGGAGTAAACGCTAATGCCTGCGCGGCTCCGCGGGGTTTTCTCATTGTTTCCTAATCCAGCCAGTAAAAAATGAGAGAAGTGAAAACAATCCCTCTGATTACCCTGTGGCATGCAAAACTGGGTGTTTTTCATTACCCCCTATTACCCAGGGGGGGAAACTGAGGCAAAATAAGTGCTCAGGGTCTTGTGGGTAGATATGAGCAAGGCCGGAATGAGCAGCACCAAAGGGAATAGGAGGCCCCTTGTGATGATTTCTCCTGCCTTTCTTGACCACAGAAGGGTTAATGCTGAAGTCAGAGGCTTTGTCCCAGTTGGTTTGTGAGGCAGCTGTGGATTTGGGTGGAAGAAGTGCTCTAAAGGCCCCATCCTCGTGGTGTGTCAGCATGGACAGAGCTGCCCTCTGGTTAGATTTGACAGGAGCAGATCTAAAGCAAGCCGCAGAAATGGGGTCTGCACACATTTCTGATGGCAGCAGAGTTTAGGAGGAGGAAAGGACATGATGGGGGGAATCTTTGAATTTGTGCTAGTCTGGGATTTTCCAGAGCAGCAATTTTAGTTGTTTTGGCGACACAGACAGACATGATGGAGGTGCAGGGCTGGCTCCTCTGCTTGCTCCCTACCTGCCTCTGCCCTTAGACAGCCTTCTCCATAGGCTCAGCTTGGACCTGTACCCCAATTTGAGCAACCCCCTGGCTGTTCAGCAGAGAGGGTGCTCAGCATCTTCTGCTCCTCCAGAACCGCTTCCATTTTAGGACTAACTGCTTGTTTTCCTGCTCTCTGTGTGTGCTTTTATTACAAACAGCAGTCAGCTCTTCAGGGATCTCTGTAGAAGATCATGATTCACCTCGTTTGGAAACACTTTTTCCATTTTTTTCCAACGTTTTCCTTAATCTAAACCAGCACACAGGGCTGTTGCTCCAGCTCTTAGGGCTGAGCTTGGCCAAGCCCGCTGGGGTACAAGGTCCCCAGCCAAGAGGCAAAAGCAGTTGCCCCTTTTCTCCCCAAATTCCCATCCGAATTCCCTCTCTTAAGCTTGGCAGTTGTGGTCTTTTCTCTGTGAAATCAGAAGTTTTGAGGAAAGAGCCAAAATACCTCAAGGAAAGCCTGGAAAGAGGGTAATGGGTTTGTGGCCACAGCAATGGCTTTGCTTTTTCCTTTTGGAGGAATGTAGCAAGAACGAGTAAAATACCACTTGTTTGCAGGGCTGGAGGAAATGCCGGTACAAGTAATTTGGAGAAGAAATTCTTGTAGAAACGAAGGGAATGGCTGTGGTATTTCCTGTCGGGGCTGTTGCTGGTTTTGTTTGTGTTGCAGCAGGGTCTGCAGGCGCCGGCGGGGCCGTGGGCTCCTCCGTGCCCCGCGTCCTACGGAAACGCACACAGAGAGGGAAAGCTGCTCGGCACATACAGCCCAGGAGGCCAGAAACACCTTCTGTGCTTCTCTCTACCACTCTTCTGCTTCAGAGAGTGATTCACGGATTGCTTTGGGCTGGGAAGGCTTTTGAAGGGCCACACTGCTGTGGGCAGGCACATCTGTCACTAGACCAGGTTCAATCCAACCTGGCCTTGAGCACTTCCAGGGATGGGGCATCCACAGCTTTTCTGGGCAACCTGTTCCAGTGTCTCATCAACCCAGTGGTAGAAAATGTCTTCCTTATATCCTATCTCAGTCTAGCCTCTTGCTGTTGCAAACTGTTGCCCTCATCTAGTCAGTACAGGACCTGGTAAAACCTCTCTCCCCCTCTTATATATTCAATATACTTATATATTGAAATGTTGCAATAAGGCCTCCATGGATCCTTCTCCTCCTCAGGCTGGGATTTTTCTTCATACCCTTAGCCAAAACCCCTCTTGCCTTCCTGCCTCAGTTTCCCTTGTTGGTTCCATTGCCTGCCTGAGCTCTCACAGTGCTGATGAAAATACTGTTTAAATGCTCTGCCAGAGCTCAAGGTTTAAGGCTGGTGCCTGTGACTGTCCTTACCCCTCTCCTGCACTGCATTTAACACAAGCCTTTGAATATCTCCACTTGTTCTCCTACATCCACTAAGGACCTCTTGGTTGAAGGAGAACAGGCTGCCCTTGGCCTCAGGTGACACCTGATGGCAGGGACAGTGAACAGAACAACCTGGATTGTGCAAGGGGGAGTCACATTCCTCACAAAATGGCAAAAGTGAGTAGGACCCAGCAGCCTCCACCACCCACACCTCTTCCACCTCAACATTTGCACGCTGTGCTGAGTTCCTGATGGAGAAGGTGCTGGTCCTGCATTCCCCCTGAGTGTTCATTCGAGATGCTGGGTGCAGACTCACACGAGGTTCTGCTCCAGCCCTTGGCAGTGCCCCAGGCTCCCTGTGTAATCTTGAACCCGTGCTGCAAACCAGACTTCCATGGGTGTAAAAAATCACAGCCTGCTCCAGCATTTAGGAAGTGCTTTGCATCCCCTGAGATTTCCTAGTAGTTTGGGCACTGCCCACTCTATTTTTTTTCCTTTAAAAAAGGAAAAAAGTATTTGTTGTTGATAGCAGTGATTAATTCAGCTTGAGCTGTGGGTCAAAAACATGAGCAAGCCAAGGGAAGCCTGAAAAATTAAACTGTAATCAACTTCTCAGACTGATAAATATGAATTTATCCCTCTTCCAAATGCTTGTGAGCTAAAGGTCTTGGTTTCTTTGAGGGAGGCAAGAGGTTAGTGTGTTTTATATTAAAGAAAAATGTTATCTAAGTAAGAAATGAAGTGGGTTTTCATTCCCCTGTTGCAGCCAATGTGTTTGTAGCTCTGCTCAGAGCAGTGTGGGGCAGCTGGCGTCCTTCTGCTGGCATTGGGCCATGGCACATCAGCCTTGTTGTTGATGTACAAGAAAAGGATGCAGCAGGGTCGTGGCTCATTTTTTTTCATTTTCTTCTCTCTCTGGAGCTTTAGACGAGTGTTCTGACATTTTCCAGCCACAAGCTGTTTTTCAAAACTTGTTTGTCTGTGAAATCTGTGCTGCTCAGCACAAGCAGGCAGCGTGTGCTCCGTCCCAGCTCAGTGCAATGCTTGGGGCTGTGCTGAAAGTGAAACCTGTGTTTTGAAAGGTTTCCTGCAGTGAGGCCGGAGCTGTGTGAGCTCTTCCCCTTCCACGTCCTGCCCTTTTGTAAGGAGAAACCTCGAAAGTTCCTTGCCCTGATATTGTTTTTTTTTTTTCTCTCCTTCTTTGGAGAAGGATTTTGTGGTGTTACAGTCAGTGAACCCAATTTATTGCCAGCATCCAGAAGGGATGAACCAGCCAGGCCTGCTTAGAGAGGCACGTGCAAATAAAAATTGACATAAAAGAGCCTATATAGTTTCTTTCCCAGCACAGATAATCCAAGGTGGCAATCCCACCTGTATTTGCCTGTCCCTCCAGAATGATTTTAACCTTCAGTACTAGGTTGGTTATGGTATCTCTTCTCCTTTTGAATTTTGGACAGGTTTAGAATTAATCTGGTATTTTTAAAAGTTGGGCCTGGTTCTGAAAATGAATCTGGAGGCTGTCCAAACTTTGTGGGTCTAGAGAAATAGCTGTAGCCCCTGAGGTGATGTAAGTGCCTGTTTAGCACAGGCCTGTATCACTGCTGGAGTGCCCCACTTGGTGACTGTCCCAGCACTGGTTCTTCCCAGCCCTTCCAGAAACACAGAAAATGCCATGAGCAGAGATAATGAGGATGCATTCCGGGTGATCCAGCGTGTTTACCCCAAATCTGTTTTTAAGCCTTTCAACAGAATCGCCTCCAGCCTTGACTTCCTGAATTTTGGTGGGTGTTTGCAGAACTGGAGGAGCTGTCAGTTTAAAAACAAACCGGAGGGCGCCCGTCCAGCTCGTTTTCCTCGTTAGGAACAAAGCTGTTTCACTGCAGCTCTGCTTTCCCTCTGAGAGGATGGAAAGTGTGCCTTCACACTCTGGCAGTCCAGGCCCAGAGATAAGTCCTGTGCTCAGGAAGGGCTGTCACCCACCCAGCTGGGAGTTATCCCTGTGAGACGCTGGACCGAGCCCTCCCTGGGGCTCCACCTCGGAGGGAGGTGGCCAGCACTTCTCTCTGCATGGGAAGAGAGCTGTTTGAGGAGGCTGGTGGGCTCTGTGGGGGGAAACATGCTGGTTAAGTGGGGTGACTAGACCTGGTCTGGGATGTAAAGAGGGTTTTGATCTGTGTTGGAGACCATTGGAAAGTCCTGGAATGATCTAAGGGATGCTGGAGGGATGCTTGGCTCAGACTTGGTCTGAGAAGCCAGAGGAATGAAAAGGCTCCTTGTGGTCTTGATTGCACAAATAGAGGATGGGAGAAGTGTTTTTTGCTGGTCCCTGCACAGCTGTGTGCTCGGTGTGCCTGTGATTCCACAGGCTCTTCTTTGGGCAAATTTTGTGGTTTCTCTTGAGGTGAGAAATGGGTCATTTCAGGGTGGGCATTTGCTGTGCATTGTGTATTGGGCCTGGTACACTTTGCATTTTGTAGGTCCTAACAAAATTACAACCAGCACTTCAACAATCCTAGCACTGCTGGCTTTAAAATCCCTGACTGTCACCATTTCCATCAGAGATTGCTCTCTTTTACTTTTTAATTCTTCACCCCAAATACTCCTGTGTTCTAGTAAACATCCTCTGAGGGCTTTTTTTTTTGGGTTTCCAACAGGAAAGTACTGGGGTGAAACCATGGAAAGCACTGAAGGTGGACAGACATCAGACACTTAACATGTTGGCCTCTTTGATAATAGTGCCTTGCTCCCAAGTGAGTTTAGGACTATTTTCCACCTTATGAATGCATTTTATTAAAACTAACAGTTGTAGAGGCAAGTGTCTTCTTATTTACAGAGGCACTTACAAGCACATTCCTCAGCAGTGTGGAGTGTCCCCTAAGGCTGTGAGTCCACCAGGCAGCTGGGCCTAAATAAACCAGATGCCTTATGGAGCTAGGAGAGTCTCCCTGAGAGCTCCTGTCAGCTTTGGGTCTGTGAGTCAATCCAGGATGCAGTTTGGGACCTCACCCTTCTCTGCTTTTTCTTTCAGCAGCGAAGTGTCAGGATCAAGTTTGAATATGAAGGAGAGAAAAGGTAGGTACCTAGTCCAGTCCCCTGTGAGTACAGGGACAAGTTCCCTTTTCCACCCACCACTGTCCTGCTGACTTCAGCCAGCTGCAGCTGAGCTCACAGCAGGATTCATTCCCCTAAAATCAGCTGCATTTTATATGCAAGAGCCCTGCCTCATCATCCCATTTGCCACAAGAAGCTCCTGGGATTTGCACGCAGGCAAAATGGTTCCAGGCTGGAAGTCATTAAATGCCTCTTTTACCAGGGACATTGGGTGCATGCCTGGATCCTTTTCTCTTGTTAATTCTTGAGCCCTGCTGAACCTCAGTAGAGCTGGAACTCTACAGAAATGTGTCCTTTGATTAGCAGTCCATGACACTTACTTAAGATAACCAGATTTTGGGCATGGGTCCCATAAAAATAGGGCTGGGAGTTAAAGCTTGTCCGCCCTTCCCTGCTTGACATTTTCATGGAATCACCTCTGCTTGGTGACTGTGACAGGGCAGGACACAGGCTGATGGTCCAAGGTGCATGTTAAAGCCAAAGAAAATTTAATTAGTGTTATTTTAGGGTTAGATGGTACCTGCTGTAAATACCTATAGAAGTGCTGTGTGTGATGGTACAGGAGAGTCACAGGATTCCAAACTGCATTGTCCCCACTTCCAGCCCTCCTCTCTATTCAGAGCCTCTTGCTGAAAATAGAGATGATAAATCACTGACCATTGCCTGATCTGGGTTTTCTCCAGTGGAGGGCTGCTGGACTTTCTTTTTTTCCACCTGTACATCACATTAGAGGGAGGAGCAGAGGAGCTGCACAAAGATTTTTGGTAGATACTCTTGCAGGGTAGTCAAGTCCCCTTTTGGGCACGGCAGAGGAGCAGCATTTCTGTGAGTGTAAAAGCAAGGAGCAGTCTTTATGCTTCGTGATGGAATATAAATCCTTTCTCCTGTACTGTCAGTCAAATCCCAAACTCCAGTATGTTTCTACTAAACTGAGGCTGTTGTTGTGTTTGCTTTTGTGTACAGGATTATCCAGTTTCCAAGGCCAGTCAAATTCAAGGAGGTGGTGCAGAAGGTCACGGATGCTTTTGGACAGACGATGGACTTGGTCTGTGTGAACAATGAGGTACTCTTCTGCTGAGGGGCAGCTTTGGGGTGCCTGGTGCCAGCCTCAGAATTGAGCAGAGGTTTGTTCTGAAGGCCCTGATTTTGTGTTTTACTTGGATGTGAAAAAAAAATAACTTTATTTTGTGGTTCCTGGCTAGTGAGTGCACAAGAGCTGTTGTCTGGACACAGCTCAGATGGATTCTCAGACTCTAAGCCAGGATTTTCCTTTGTCAGAATTATTTCAAGTAAGGCCTGTTACACAGGAACATTGTCTTTTCCCCAGAACAAAAGATTCCCCTCGCTCAGGCGGGGATGTGAAGTCTCCCCACCTCGGGGGCAGCTGCAGGAGCGTGAAGTGCAGAGCAGGAGGGACAGTGCTGCTCACACAGTGTTCTTTTATCTAGCACTGACTTTGTCTGGCCCAAACCCCCAGCACGACGTGCACGTTCTTGTGGCTGGGTCTGCAGTGAAATGTGCATCACTGAACGTTCCTCCAGCAGCTCCTGTGGCCACATAAAAGCAGCCAAGAAACCCTTCCTCTGCAATCCTTGCATTTCAAGGCTAGAAGGTCTTTCTCCTCCATCATTCAGCACACAGGCCTCTGTGTTTTTTCCACTTTCTCTTTGAGCCCAGCACTGTGTGTGAAAGGAGGGCTGCTAGCAGAAGGGGGAAATCCTTGGCATCTGTTTTGGTGTGCTCAGTGTTTTCTTGTGAGGCATCAGGAGCCACTGGACTCTTGGGGTGGGTTTGGCTTTGGGAAGGAGGAGAGGGCCAAATGGCAAAGAGGTGGGCTTTTAAACACAGATCCTTTTGGATCTGCCCTGACAGCTGCCTTGTTCAAGTATTAATTGCAGATGACCTGCAGCCTTTGATCAAAGTATGAATGGAGAGGTCCTGAAGAGATCTTCCTTCTTTTTTTCCCCCCATTTATTATTTTCTCCCTTCTGTTTCAATAGAGATTTGCCCCACAAAGAAAGTTCCTATTCTTTTACAATAGGTACCTCATGATACCAAATTGTTTCCACTGGGTTTTGACTTTGAATGCAGTCAGGTTTCTAATCTTGGGCCTTCTTTGACAGCCCTCTGGGGAAAAGCCTGCCATTGAATTCTCCAGGAATGACTCATTTCATTCCAGGTTTCTTCCCACTGGAAGAGGATTTCTTTCCAACAACAGCAAACAGAAGCTTAAATAATGCATTTTATCCCATGTTAGAGACTCTCTTTCTGGGCCTGTGCACAGCACATAGCAGGTCCATGAGTGGGCCTTTGGGTACTCCTGGCTTTTTAGGGCTGGGGATGACTTCCAGTGCTTTGTTTTCCTACACATTAAAGTTCCACCTCGTGAGAACCCACAGCTTTGGGAAGATGTCTGAGAAGCAGTAACTCAGGGTTGTTGTTGTGGAAACACTCTAAACAGACAAGAGGCGTCTCTGGGGACATATCCTGTGTGTACGCGTGGTGACACCCCAGCATCTGGCTCCTGGGTCAGTGTTTTGGGTGTCATGACACCCAAAGTTCCAGAGGGAACATGACCACAGACTCATTGCTGTTAAATATTTCACCCTGTCTTTATGCTCCAGGGGAACTGGGCAGTAATTCTTTCCTGCCATCAGTCATCTCTCTTGCTTTTGGTGCCTTGTAGACCAAATTTGCACTGAGGTCAGCAGGCCCCTGCAAAATCTCACTGAGTGGCAGTCCCTGGCCTGGTGGAGGAGGTGTCCTGAGGCCAGGATCAGCGAGATGAGCATGCCAGCTGGGTGGAGCAGGGGCACGCATGAATCACATCCTGGTGGGACCACGGAATCAGCAGGCTGGGGCTGGTGTAGATAAGAGCAGGGCCTGGCCATGGGTGTCCCCCATGGGGCATGTCTGTGTTAGTTCTTGGCTGGGCTCATCTTTCTGAGGAGTGGGACAGCAAAGCCTGGCCTGGCCAGGGGCAGCACAGACACCACTTGTGATGTGACCTTGGGCAGAAGGTCACTGAACCTCGATGTGCCACCACTTCTCTTCTGACCTCCCATTGTCTCCTCCAAGGCTGCCCCTCAGCATCATTCTGGAGGTCAGGGAGAGTTAAAGCCTGGAGAAATGGTAGAGGCACCATTATGGGGGGGAGGGGGGAGATAAAAGCATATTTAACAAACATTTGTCGAGAATTGTTGATGCCAGTTGGTCCTGCAGTGGGCAGGAAGATGAACTAATTGACCTCTCAGATTTTTCCCCAACCCTGTTTCCTACAATTCTTTGGCTTTCTGCGGTGTCTTACGGAGTGAGGTCTGACAGTGCTGCTGTAGTTGGTGAAACCTCAGCCTTTGCCCTCACTTTCTCAACCTGCAGTGGCGAGACCATCAAATTCCCCACTAAAACATCAGGCTCCAGGGGAGGGTACTATTTAAAAGCAAGAAAAAAAATCTAATAAACTCTATTTGTGCAACTTCTGTGTAGGTAAACTTTGCTGTTAATTACAGCTACTCAGTCTTCAGCTCAAATAAACCCAGTTTCTGGAAATCCATGCTGGCAATTACTTCCATGGCTCTGCATGAGTCTGTTTTGAGTTTCATGCCTAGCAGATACCTGTTCCTGATATCCGTATGTGCCACAGTCTGGAAGCCAAATGGAGCAGAATTTTCTTGCCAGATGTGGGTAATAGGTAAAGCCAAGCTAAATACTGGCTCCAATCCCTTTACAAGAGGGCAATTTCTCCCTGATGTTTTTGGCTCCTCTGAAGGAGGCACGCAAACATGTTCATGTTGTGATGTTGGAGAGAGATGGAGTGACCTACAGAACATTCTGTTCAGAGCAGCAGCTGGGGGATTGCTCTAAGCACTTGTGAGGAGCTCAGTGAAGGGATGGGTGAGCAGAAGGGCTGAGCTTAGAGTGCAGAGTCAAATTCTGTTTGGTGGTGAAACAAGGAAGAGCAGCTCTCTACCATTCTGAGTCTGGGTGAGTGTAGAGGAGGAGCCCTGCCTGCTTGAGACAGAGCCTTTGTGAACTTGAAGAGGATTAAGTGCCCCAAGGGAATCTCTCCACCTCTACTGCTCAAGGGAGCAGGCTGAGCACTGCATGTAGGAGACATAATCAGTACCAGCTTTGTCTGATGTGTGGGGAATACAGGTTGTTCATTCAAATATGAGTGAAGGCTGAAAGGAAATCACAGGATCACAGAATGGGTCAGGTTGGAAGGCACCACAGTGGGTCATCTGGTCCAATCTCCCTTCTTAAGTAAGGTCAAGAAGAGAGAGAAGCACATGGCACAGGATTGTGTCCAGATGGCTCTGAATATCCCCAGTAAGGGACACTCCACACCCTCTCTGGGCAATCTGTTCAGAGCTTGGTCACTGCACAGGGAAGAAGTTCTGCCTCCAGTGCAGGGGAAACTTCCTGGGATCAGTTCTTGTCTGTCCCTCCTGTCCCATTGCTGGCCCCTAAGGAGCAGAGCCTGGTCCCTGCTCTGAGCCTTCCCTGCAGTCAGGCACAGACAGGGATGGGGTCCCCTCTCAGCATCTCCTCTTGAGCCTGAGCAGCCCCAGCTCCTTCAGCCTTTCCTCATAAGAGAGATGCTCCAATCCCTTAATCTCCCTTGTAGCCTCAGCTGTCCCTGCTGCAGGAGCTCCCTGCCTCTCTCGAGTCCACAGCTGGGCACAGCGCTCCAGATGTGCCTCACAGGGCTGGGCAGAGGGGCAGGATCCCTGCCCTGACCTGCTGGAAATGCTCTTCCCAATGCACCCCAGGGTATCACTGGCCTTCTGGGCCATAAGGCCAAGAGCACACAGTCTGAGGTGTATTTGCCTACAGGCCAACAGCCAAACCCTTGGCAACACCCTGGGATCAAAAAGGCTGTCCCAGTGGGCTTGTGAGGGTCACCTTGTGTGGCAGCTGCTCTGAGGTGGGTTTGCTGTGGCTGGTGGCAGGAGCCCAAATCACCTGGAGGCCTGAGCCACTTTTCAGGAGTTCTGGGAAGCTGTGGCTCCCAGAGAGAGCCTGCTGGGAGCTGTGGCTGCTCGCTGCCTTTGGTCAGTGGAGTTCCAGTGTACTTTGGCACAGGCATGAGAATAACATGTGCTGTGTTGGCTGGATCCAGTGCCCGAGGCAACCTGCAGAGGCTGGGGCCTGTTTGGTATGAGATTAGGCAGAATATCCCGAAATGAGGGGCAAGAAGTTGTGCTTTTAATCTTAGCCCAGGGCAGCAGAAGGCCACAGAGCTCCTCTGAAGTGCAGCTGTATCGGGTGTTGGAGGCTTTGCAGGCTGTCTGCAGGACATGGTACACCACACAGCAAGGTTGGGAGGGTCAAATTCCCCGTGGAGGTATGAGGGAAATAGTCTGCCACTTCCCAGGAAAACATCAGGGCTTTTTGCTGCCTGACAGACACGGTACTGTGTAGTTCTCTGTTCTTACAAAGAGCAGAAGCTGAATTTGTTCTGCTGGGAGTGAAAGAAGTGATTCTTGGAAGGAGAGCAATGCACTCCTTGCACATCAAAAGGGAAGAGAGTTATTTGTGGGGTGTTCCCTGGTTTCACCTGGTGGCCAGGCACCAGGGAGCTGTGTCAGTGTGCAGAATACAAGCATCAGCAGTAGGGAAGAGCACAAAGCATCTGCCAGAGTGAATCCTTGGGTGCAGCTCACTGGTGTATTGGAGCACCAGCGTGGCCATCAACCCAGGAAGAACGTGTGGGGTTGTTTTGGGGCTGGGTAGCAGCAGATCCCACCTGCAGAATCAGAGCAGCCCCAGAGTAGCAGGCAGCAGCAAGCCCAAGGTTTCATCCCAGCCCTCTCCTTTTCCCACTAGCTGGATCTCTGGTGTGACCTTTAAGCTTTCTCCTCGCAGATGTTGTTTGTTGTGATTTTTTTTGTGTCTGTTCCTTGGTAAATGAGGTCTTGGGAGAAAATGTTAGAGCTCAGCAAGCTGGAGGGCAAGGGGCTCCGTTTTCCATCGCCTCCTTGGGCTCCTCCCTCATCCCCCGATTCCCAGGCTGCTCCCTGTAAGGATCTGGCTCCTTCTGTTTACCCAAAGGTGTGACATTGCCATCCTTTGGTGTTTGTTTAATCCCTTCCAGCTCCTGATCCCATTGAAATCCCAGGAAGATTTGGACAAAGCGATGGAACAGTTGGAGCTGAGCCCTTCCCTGAAGAGCCTGCGGATCCTTGTGAGCGCTCCAAAGAAAGCGAATGTGAGCCCTTCACCTTCTCTGCTCTTTTGTGTCTGGAGTGAGATGCCTTGTTATTGTGTTGGGGAGTGGAAAAGAGTCTCCTGACTGTGCAGAGCAGAGGGCAAGCTGGTTATGAGGAGGGTCAGCCCTGCTCTGGCTCAGCTGCTCAGAAATCTTCCTGTGATAGTAGCCCAGAGGCTGAGCTCAGCATGCCCTGGCTCCTCCTGCATCCTGTGAAGGGTTAAATACCAGACTGACCCTCAAGCAAGGTTAAACCCTGAGAGAACTCCTTGTGCTTTCTTTCTAGAGATGCTGCCACCATTCCTTTTCACCTCTCCTCTGTATTCAGGGTGATGCCCTGGTCCTTGCCATGCTGGGTGGCAGCGTGGGGACTGTTCCCTGCATGTGCTGCAGCAGTGCTAAAGGCTGGGAAGAGCAAACCGAAGAATCCTTTGGCCTCATGCAGAACTGTCTGCATTTTTTCCATCTTTATTTATTTATTAGTTTTTCCTGAGCTCAGTGGTTTTGCAGTTAAGCCTGTTAGCTTGACCTCGCTTGCACAGAGTGTCTTGCCAAAGCACATGTCGTGCTGCCCCAAGCACAGGCTGTAAGCAAGGGATTTGTAGATGTTGCAACTCTGTTTCTTCTTTTTATTTCCTAGAAGTACTGGAGAGACTGGGAGTCTTGAAACTCACAGTGCTTATCCCCATTCTCAGCCCTCTCAGCTCCTTCAGAGAGGCTTGGGAGGTGCAGGGAGTGGAGCCCCAGGGAAACTGAGCCATCAGCTGGGGTTTCCTAAACCATGGCTGGCAATGGGGCAATTTGTGGGAGCACAGCAGAGAGCAGAGGAGCCAGGTAGATTCCTGCCTGCCTTTGGGAGCAGGTCCATCTCTTCCTGTGGCCATGCTCCTGCGTGTGAGAACAGGCCGTTCCGAGGTCATATATAAGATTATCATAAAGTCACAGCTCACTGTAGTGTGTGGTCTTAGTAAAACCTGGCCACTGCCAAGTTACCAGCTGGGTATGTGTTTCTTTGCTCTTCCCTTACCTGTTTTCCCTGACCTTCCACTCTCTCTGTTCCTCTGCCCTGTTACAGAGGAACCTCTGCAGTGCCTGGGCTGCCACTGGAGTCTAGGGAGCACAGAGGAGCAGTGCTGATTTTGGGATTGCAAGTGTTTTCAGTCCATGATCAGTCTCTGTACCTATCTGGAGATAATGGAGTGCAGGAATAGTCTTTTATGTCAAATATCTGTATTTACCATTATCTGTGGGAGCTTAATCTTATTAGACCATTTTATTAGCAGATGTGACATGTGTTTGAATGGTTTTTGGATCACTCTATCTTCTTTCTTTCTTTCTTTTTTTTTTTTTTTTTTTAATAGTTCTTGGGTAATAGGGTCACAGGGAGCCAAATACAGGGTTTCACATGGTGTGTCCACAGGGCTCTGGCCAATTCTGATCATTCCCTTTGTCTGATCACCAGCTCCTGCAGCCAAACAACAGCAAGCAGCACGAGATGAGGATCTCCAGATCCATGGGCGATATCATGGGATCCCTGTACAAAGACTCCGAGAGGACGCGCAAATATTCGACAGGTGAGTGAAGCTGGGGTGTTCTGTGCCATTTCAACCTGGCCACCACCTTCTTCCTCTTTTTTTTGTCACAACCCTGTGGGTGTTAGAGTGTGGATGGCCACACTGATGTCCCCCACAGTAACTCAGTGCAGCTGCTGCTCGTCCTCAGCCTGAGGAAGAGACTCTGCAGGTTGGGTGAGGTTGTGCTGAGCAGAGTCACTCTGAGCATGCAGGTGAAGAGAACAGGGGACCTGGGGTGTAATTTGGGGGTAGGAAATGCAGTGATAAAAATTTCCAGAGAATTTGATTCCACTGAGCTTTATCAAAGTGAAGAGTGATAATCTATAGGGATCCAAGGCTGTTTGGGACCTCTGGTTCTTCCTTTATCTGTGTGCTGTTGTTCCCAGTGTCTGTCCCCCTTTCTCAGCTGGCAGGATGATGTAGCTGAGTGGGCTCAGGCTCCTTAGCTCCTGGGCTGGGACCAGCTTCACCACATAAAGACCAAATATGTGTCTGTGTGGCACCAGTCTGTTCTTGTGGGCGAAATGACATCTCTGGTAGCTGTTTCTGGGGTTTCTCAGGGGCAGGTGTGCAGTATTTTGCAGTGGTGACATTCCAGAGGAAGGGGAGCATCCCTTTCCTTCAGAGGCACTGGAAGTAGTACCTGCAAGCCCTGAAACCAGGCTGGCAAACACCTCAGCTCCTCTTGCAGCCCTGCATGGACTGGAGTTTGTTTGTAGCCTGGTGTCGTTTCCTCTTTGGTTTTCTGGTCTTGAGTTTGTGCTTTCCTTGCTTCCTGAAATACTCTGAGCTTTTGAAATCCTGTTGATCAGCTGTCTGTAGGAGCTTTTGTGTGAAGAACCTTGTAGGATTTTGTAGAGAGCAGGGTGCCTTGTGCAGAGCTGGTGAAGCAGTACATAGCAGGAGTAAAATTATATTCCATCCTGCAGGCAGGGTGAATGATTATTTTACACAGTGTGACACCCACAGCTGATGTGGGTGCAGGTTATAGGGGAACTTCTACAGATCTTAATCATTTTCATGCAAGTACTTGCCAGCTGTAGAACTGACAGCCTTGAATAAAGTAGGCTTCTCCTTCAGAAATACACATGGAGAAATCTAAAGGTCCTCTGTAGTTACATGACAGTAAATACTTCCAAACTCTCCTCTGTGCAACAAAAGAGTATTTTTCTCCAAGGACTCATCCCTTCTGCTTCATAGCCTGTGCTGATAACCTCTCCTGTGGTTGGCTTCATCTCAGACAAGATGTATAGAAAATGCTCTTCTAGGGTAGGTCCAGCATATCCTTTGTGCAGCCATGCCCAGCTCTTACTGATGCCAGGGGTGGGTGGCACATGTGCAAGGGCTCTCTTTGAGCCTGGTGTTTGGATGTACCAAGGTTGTCTTCTTCTGTTTGTTTTTCTTCCTAGCTCACATGGTTTTTGAGAGTTTGGCAGAGTCACTAGGTGACCCTGAATGAAATGCACATGTAAAGCACAGAGTCTCAGCAGAAACTGTGCTTGAGCAAATCTTCTCTGCTGTCCTTTTCTTTGGTATGTGTTAGGCTGCTAATGAGCAAAGAGCTGTGGCACTGGGAGCTGTCACTGACGTGTGAGCCTGAGCATGATGGGCAGGATTGATTCCATGTATAGCTGTGCTAGTGGGAAGATGGGTTCTTGTGAAGTTAAGACTTTCCTACCAACTTTTATGCCGTGCTTTGGCCTCTCCTTCCTCTTCTGGAGCTGCTGGTTCCTGACCAGCTCTGCACCACTGACTGTGAGGTGTTGCTGCCTTAAGAATGCCCCAAGGCAAGGCAGAGGGTGAGATATCAGCTGTGCAAGGGTGAGAGCCTGAGGCACAAATGGATTTTGGAGGGGATGCTTGAAGAGCAGAGTGGAGGAATGGAGCTGCTGATTTATGCATGTTAATTATGCTATACTGCTCTAATGTGATGCTTCAGTCAAGGTAACAGAGGAGGAGCACTGGGCAGCACTGGCTGTGAGGTGCAGAGTGTGCTAATGTTGGGATTTTCAGGAGCTAATGTGCGAAACTCCCAGTCCTTGGCACTTTTACATGGTCAGGTGGCAGAAGTAACCAGCCCAAGCATCAGTCATACCTGTTTCTTTTTCCACAGAAACCATCAGTCTTGTGAGGAGGCTTCAACAAGTCCCTCAGAGTGACAACAGAAGGTCACTCCTCTCTTTGGGTTATCTGTAGGAAGCTACTGCAGCTCTTCTTAGGGGGTGCTCACAATCCAGCAGATGCATTTAACTCTCCTGAGTCAGAGCTGGGTGGTCCAGCAGCTGGGCAGAAAGCTGAAAGGGAGAGCAGCGTTTCAAAGGGAGCATAAAAGCCAGTGTCGGGAAATACAGACATTCATGATGCTGTGTTTTGTTTTCCCAGAGTGGGGGTTTCACTGAATTTGGTGGATAGTCAAAAGGCATCCTAAGAGGCTGGGAATTCTGTAGGAGAAACTCTTTTCCCTTGTATTCGTGTTTCTGAGATGTCTCATGTTTTTCTGCTGACTTTGCCATATAAGCAGCAACGGAAAATAATAAAACTGTATGTAATTGGCACAAGAACATTGGAAGGGAGGTAGATGTTCTGGGGAAGATTTAGCTATTTTTGCTTCTGCTGGGCAGAAAATGTCTTCATGCCGTGTCCCTGAAAAACCTTATTCAAAGTCAATATTTTCTTTTTTTTTTTTTTTTTCCCCATAAACTTTTTCTGTGGAAATCCCCTTCCAGTTTTTTGGTGGCCAGCGAAAGCACAAGGGAACTTGGACTGAAAAAAGAAAATTTTTCTGGGTTCAGGATTTTCAGATAACTCAGGATTGTTTTTATTTACTTTGAAGAAATACACATTTCAGAGCATTATCCAAAAATTACTTGACAGCCCCATTCCAGCATCACCATTTCAGTGAAAACATTTACCAGAATAAAACCTTTAATTTACTGGTTTTTATCATGGAAAACCAGGCTGCTGAGCCATGGCTTCATGTGCCTGCCAGCTCTCTCCAAACCAGGAGTGTTGCAGGAGTTAGGTTGGATGACACCTGCTCTGTTTTGAGAAGAGGAGGAAAATTTATCTTTGTGCATCATGCCAGTTGCCTGAGAGCCAGAATATAGGTTCTGTCTTGCTTATTAGTTGAAAAATTTGCCCTAAATTTGCCTTAAATCAAAATGTAGAAATCCATGCTCAGAAGGATCAGCAAGGAGAGGAGGGAGACTTGTAGGCATCCCACTGGAAAAGAAGAAATTGAGGGAGTTTTGGTCCATCTGCTCACAGCTCCCCTTGCCAGGACCAGAGAGAGAAATTTCCTGCAGGTTTCTCTCTCTGTCTCTCTCTCTCTCCTGTGCAGCCCTGTCCTGAGCCTGGTGTTTGCCAGGGCTCAGAGGAGCAGCACATCTTGCCGTGGTGTCCCTTGTTTGGAGCATTGCAGGGCTGGGCTCCCCGTGGCTGCAGCTGTGAGCGGTGGCAGCTGCCAGCAAACCCTCCCCAGCTCTGCCTGCTCGGGGGCTTCTCTCCCCTGCTTGCTGCTGGCCGGTGAAGTTTTGGGAAGAGCAGGGGAATGCTGAAGCTGGGGAATGTGGGGGTGGAGGGAAGCCAGGCCTGGCACAGGGGAGCTGGCTGTACGTGCCACGAGCTCTGCACACACTGCATGAAAGGCACTTCTTAAATAAAAATATCAGAAGGGAACACGGAAGGCCGCAGTGGGTGCCAGCAGTGACTGTGAGTGTCCGTGCTGTCCCGGTTCTCTGTCCTCAGGACACTCTGTGCTCTCCTCTCAAATCTTTACATTTGTGTGTGTAACATGGAGCAGGAATCCCTCCCTGAGCACCTTGCTGCAGAGGGTAACCGAGGTCAGATGCTCAGCCAGTGCCAACTCTGAGTGCAGCAATCCCAAACAGAGCTGCTGAGATCTGACCAGCACTCTGCCTGTACAGAAGTGCCTCGCAGCCTGCCCCATCCCCACTGGAGCTGACATGTAATCCCACAGACCCCAGGACAGTCCCTTGGGGGCCTCCTCTCCCTGCCTGGTGCTGCTGCTGTTTCTTCAGTATTAGGTCAAGTGTGAAGAGCATCTGTGATGTGTCAAATAGGCACATCTGGGCTTTTCTGTCTGTTTCTTCCTCTGCCTCGGGGTGGATTAATCAGCATTATCCTATATATCCAATGTGCCTTGTATTTTCCCCACTATGAATTAAGCCTGCCATGAGGTACCACTGTTGCTCTCTTTCTCTGGCCCCAGTTTTCCATTCCTCCCCTCCTCCAGCAGCACTGGGATTGCCTGAGGTTTTGTTAACAGAGCAGGGCTGGAGTGGGGAATCAACCCTGATCTCCAGAGATCTGCTCCCAGCACCTCCCCATGTTTCTCCCAGGTGGAAGAGCATGCATGGATGCAAAGCAGCAGCAACCAGTGCTCCTGGAGGTGTGAAGCTGCAAAAATGACTTTGGGAAGCACATCCACCCAAACAGCCTGGTTGAAAAGGGATCTGCTTCACTCCAGCAGTTTCCATGCATGTAAAAACCTAAGCACTTTAATTTCCTTACCTGCTGGGAAATAGCTGGTGTCTTACCCCCTTTTAAAGTTTTTGGCAGGAAATGTGACTCTGGAAGGTCAAACACAGCTGATCTGTGGCTGGGAGTAGTTCTTACAGGCAAAGGCTTAATGTGAGATTATGCAAAGTCTTTGTGCTTGAGATAAATCCGGTTTAACTCCCCAGGTTCAGAGTCAAACAGGGCATGTACAGATCTTTGTAAAATCATAGTCAAAGGCTTTCTGGATAACAAGTGGGTCACTGGAGCAAGAGATCCCAATAGTGCAGGAGCAGACCCTCACCTCATTGCAGCAGTAGCAGAAATGCTCAGCAGAGCTGATACAGCAGTTAGAGCTCAGTAAATCCTCCAGCAGCTTTTTGGGGCAAGAGCCAGCCAAATGTCCTTGTGCTGCATTCCAGATTGGCATCTGCCAAGCAAACGAGGGGCTGCTGATGCAGTGATTTATTCAGGGTGCCCAAACTGCTCAATAGTTAAGTTTATTTATTTATCTTCAAAGAGAGGATGCTGTACTTCCCAAATGGTTTTGTTTTAGGGCTGGTGGAAAGCCAGTTCATTATGAGTGCTGCAGCACTCGAGAGATTCTCTCCTCTTGATCTTGGCATTACTTCAGTTGAAGTTTTTTCACTGTGTTCTTATCCTGCAGGAAATCTGTGAAGGAGAAAATAGGAAGAAGAAGAAAAAAAAGTAACTCAAAGCCATATGACTTTTATTTTTACAATCTAAGCAAGCAGTCAGAAGGAAAATGTAGCATGGGACAGACAAATCTGTGTGTTTGGTGTAAATCCAGCAGAAAGGCCTGATTTAATGACCTTTAATGCTGGTGTGACACTGTTAACATTTGCAGCTCCTGATGTGCTTCTGCTTAAGTGAAAGGTGGGAACTTGTGTTCGAAGTGTTGATCATGCAGATGGATTTATTCCAGAGATCCATCTGGCACAGTAACTGATGCAGAATAGCATCAGAAGAGGCAGAAGTGTTGTGTTGATAGATCAGTGTTGATTTCCCATGATGTTGACTCTCCCTCCCAGTCCCTTTCTCTTGTGCTCAGCCCTGGGCATGTTGTTAGCAAATGGTATAATGAACCCAGGAGCAGGCGAGTGTGCCACAAAATTGATACAAAACATGAGGAAACACATCTCCTTTTGCTTTCTATCTCCTCAAGGATGTGTGCTTTTCAGAAGTCTGCATGAAAACAAGTTGTTGTGCTGTGGGGAAGCTCACGATGCCGAGCAGCTGAAGCTCCAGCGCGGATCCACACGGATCTCCGTCAGCAATTCCTTGCCACGGAGTGATGACAGCACAGGGATGGAGGGGAGGGACTGCAGGGAGTCAAGCAGAGCCAAGACTGTGCAGCTGGGCCAAGCAAGGGCAGCAATCCCTAAAGCTGGAAAAGGCAGAAGGATAGAGTGGATGGGGGGGAATTAACAGGAGGAATGGAACATCTTCATAAAGAAGCTGTGGGCTTCTCTCCCAGGTGCAAAATGAAAATCACCTTCTGCTAAATGAGCCCTGTGAGGGAGCCAGTGGAAGCTTTGCTGTCTGTGTATTGGATCCACAGGGTAGGGGCTGTGGGGTTATAGACAGGGGAGACAATTCCCTTGGCCAAAAATGGGACAAACAGATCCCATAGGTGATTCCTGCCCTGGGGTTTTTGGATTTCAGGGCTGGTGTTCCTCTTTACTTCCGTGTAGGGAAAGGGAGGAGAAGAGGGTATTTGAGTGAAAGTCATTTTCCATATAACAAGTGTTTCGGTGATGTTGCACAGCCGGGCTGTTTCCCAGGTGGCTGGAGGAGGCAGTGACCTTCAAAGGGTCGGGATCAAAGGGGAGTGGGTTGGGGGTTTGTGGTTTGCTTTGAGATTGACTGACTGTATGACAACAGAACCCCAGAGCTCTTTCCTTTCTGGATACAGTGACAGCTCTAAGGATCCAGGGTGTGTTGAAGGTCAAGTCTGCTACATGTTGTTCCGCAGTAACAAGCTCTCCCCATTGCTAAAGCTTTGGAGGAAGCCCATAAACAGCATCACACCCCTAGCTCCATTCCCATCCTCATGGACTCAAACCCAGCAGCATCTCCAGGAGCTCTGTGATGGCTGGAAGAGCGTTTTGGGAAGGATTTGGATTGGTAGGTTGCCTCCTTGACCGGTGTGTGTCCCTGTCGCAGGCTCCCTGCACACCGGGCGCAGCTCTCCGCCGCCGGGCAGCGTTCCCGAGGAGCAGCAGCAGATCGCCCGCCAGGGCTCCTACACCAGCATCAACAGCGAGGGCGAGTTCATCCCCGAGACCATGGAGCAGAACGTGAGTGGGGCTGGGGCTGTGTGTGTGGAGCTGGGGCAGCGCTGGGAGCCAGGAGGCCGCACTGACTGAGCTGTTCCCACCGTTAAACCCTGGCAGTGCCTGTGCTTGGGGCTCGGGCCAGCTTTTTCCAGGAATGGGTGCTTGACATGCCTGGGAAAGTCTGATTTCCAGGAGCCCTGAGAGCCAGCTGCTCTGGGGATGGCAAATGTGCCCGGGCACCTCGGGTAGCTCTGGAGCAGCACAGATCTGGGGCACACGTGTGAACCAGCTGCCAGGCCCTTGTGGCCACAGCATTCCCAGATCCCAGCACCATGAGGGAATGTGCCAAGCAACCGATTGCCTGCAATTGCAACAGCCTGGGGATATCAGCAGCTCTGGCTGCTTCCCATGTGGTGTTTCTGCCTGAGCTCCAGTTACAGTTCTTGGCTCTGCCCACAACCTCTGTGGTTTTGTGTCTCTGTCCCTCCCCCATTTTTTTTTTTAACTCTCTTAATAAGGAGATTGTATGTTCCAGTCCCTCAGTAATAAAAGAGCAGCAAGTTCCTCAGTGCTGAGCAGTCCCTCATCCTCCAGTCAATTTGGTACCCACAATGAGGGAGACTGCAATGTCAAGGGACCACAGTGGGAGCAGCTTATACCTCCCTCTTTTTTTGCAATTGTGCTCCATCTATAGCTCTGAAGAGCTTGGTATAGATCCTGTGAAGTCAGCTGGGCTGCCTGAGCACATATCATTCTTACAAAGCTCTTGGAAACACGGGACCAGTGAGAGAGTTTGCAGGAGGGACATCTGGAAGGTACTAAACTCGATCCATCAGGCTGCAATGCTGGCCCCCAAGGATGTTCCTGGGGAGATGTGTTTTTCCTACACTCAAAAGCACCCACCAGCTCCACATTTGCGTGCAGGCTGTGCCAGCGTTTCCATGGCAAAGTTGTGTTTTCAACAGTTTATTATACAGCCATTAATAAAGTAAGAAGTCACTCTGGGTGAGTCTTGGCAGCGTCAGAGTGCAGATGTATCGTGTGCTCCTTGCAGCCAAAAGTTGGCTCTCTATTGTCTTCACATGCCTTCAAAACACATTGGGGAGGATTAAGACAAAGTGTGTGTGTGGAGGGGGAGGGTCCCTGTGACCCCCTTGGGTGTAAATCAGCCCAGCTCCACCAGCTGTTCATGGAGCTCCATTAATTCTGAGCCCTGAGCCTGGTCCGGATGAAGGTTCCCAGATGCTCTCCTTGCTTTTCCCCAGCATCACGCTGTGGGTGGCCTGCAGCCCTTTGCTGGTGAATTAAAAGCAGGGAAAAGGGGTTTGGGGTTTTTATGTCTTTCCTCATTGAGCAGCCACGCTTTTCCCTATATGGGCTTTGCCTTCAGAATGTTCTTGTACTGCTGCTTCCATATGTGCCTCACGGAAAACCACTCAGAAACTGGAGCTTGCTGCCTTTTGGGGAATGCCCCTGTGCAAGCCTGTGATGTAACTGTGGTCTTGAGACCAGCCTGGCAGATGAACAGAGGCTGAGTATGGAGCATGCACCAATTCCCAATTTTATGCTTTTGAGAAATGAGTCTGTTTCAGCTGTAACTGCTGGAAGAGACCTGGCATGGCTGGCAGAGGTGGCAAGTGGGTTTTATTTGAATGCTTGCACCTCTTTGGCTTGCTGCATTTTGAAGGAGGTTTTGGGACAAAAGCTAGGAAGCAGAGCAAAATTGCACTTTGCAGTTGGGACTGCCTGGCCAAAACAGCACAAGCTGTTATGACAACCAGCTGAGGAGGGCTGATGGGAACAGCCTGTGGAAAGGGAGGCTGTTGGGGAAGGAGGAACAATGTGGGAAGCAGCAAAGTGTGGCTGCACATGGTGTTTAGCCCTCATTGCTCAGCTTTCCCAGGAGTGAGCTGTGGAGCAGGGGTTGGTGGATGTCCACAGCCAGGAGGGAGCGTGGCACCGCTGGCAGCGCAGTGTGGCACGGAGCAGGCTCTGCTCCATGTGGAAGTGCACACAGCTCCAGGGTTTACCACTCCATACAAACCCTCTATTGTTACTAACCAGCTATAAATAACCCTGGCCAGTACAATGTCTCATCCAGGAAGCAACACAAATGCAGCTTTTGACTCACTGAGCTGGTGAGAGCCAAGCCGGTTCTTCCAGCCAAAAACCCTGATGATGCTGCGCTTATCAGCGGAGAGGAAGGCTGGGCTCGTGTGCCAGGGCAGCTCGGGAAATCAGGAGTCCAGCTCTGCAATCCTGGCTGTGGTACACAATATCCACTTGGCCTTGGGCACATCATTTGTATCCTGATACATATTTTCCTTTAGTAGCAATGTTATTATTTCACACAAATACTTTGGGCACTTTGATTCTCACTGACTTCTCCGCACGCTTGGAACATCAGGGTGTTAATTACCTTTGCTTCAGTTTTCCTACCAGCAAACAGCAGTTGGAAAGAACAATAATGCAGAGAAGGCATCCTAAATGGATGACCCTGCAGAGGTCTGCTAGTTCTGGAGCTTGGAAAGCTACGGTGCATGTTTTTATTGTTTCCCCTTTTCTTTCTCTGTCAGATGCTTGAAGCTTTCATCAGCCCCGATGACTCGCTGTCTGGGAGCTGCCAGTCGCTGGACAGATCTGTGGACAGGTGAGTTGTGTGTGTCACTGTGTTCACAAGCTGAGCTGCAGCCTCTGCTCCACAGCAGGAGAGCAGCAGCATCAGTGTCAGACCCTGAGGTTTCTGTTGGGATGAGGTCGCACCTGAGCAAAACAAATTTATCACTGAAAACCAGATCCTAGCACAGATGTCTGTGCAATGGCATGATTGGAATTGCAGTAATCTGAGCTGGACAAAGACAACGTAGCTTTGTGTGACCAGGATTTCTTTTTTGTCTTTTGAGGTGAAAATTCTCACAAAAATCACACAATGGGTTGGGTTGGAAGGGACCTTAAAGATCATCCAGTTCCAATCCCCTGTCATGAGCAGCAACACCTTCCACTATCCCAGGTTGCTCAGTGCTCCATTTAGCCTGGCCTTGAACTCTTCCAGGGATGGACATCCACAGTTTCTCTGGGCAACCTGTTCAAGTGCTTCATCACCCTCACAGCACCTCCTTCCCCTCTGGCTCTCTGCAGTCACCAGGTCAATATTCCATCAGCCTCTCCATGCCTCCTCCTCCCTGGGCAAGCTGTCTGCTCTCCACTGACCACTGGCAAACTCAGCAGTCCCTGTGCAGTGCCAGCAGCCACAGACGTGTCAGTCAAGGTGCTGAGGACACCAGATGAGCAGTAACTAAGTTTAGCTGCTCAGCAGGAAGCAACTGGGACATGCTGTACTAACCCAGGCTGCGATTCTGTGGCTGGTGCCATTGAGCTGGATCCCAGCTCACACGTGCACAGAGTCCGTACGTTTGCTGCTGTGCAGGGTGAGCTGTGGATAAGACACAGTGTCCTTATGGGAAGCAGTCTATTTTTTTTTTTTCTGTCTACATCAAAGATTTTCTATTTTTTTCCCCTGTTGCTGTTGCCATACAGCACCGAGGCTGCGTTCCAGCGGGCCTGCGTTGGGTTGATTGTGTAGCGTGCTTCGGGTTTGCAGCTCCGTGTGCTTTGGATCTGTCTCAGCATCAAGATCCATTTCCTTTTTGTGGCTTTTAATAATTTCCTGTGATGTATTTGCTCATTGTTATGGCTGTATCGAAGCTGGATTCCTTGTGTTCCCAGCCTCTCTGCCCCAGCTTTGCTTTTGCACAGATTTTGCCAAGAAGAGCAGCAGAAGGAGCTTGGGCTGTTTGTAACACTCTGCTGTGAACTGAGAGAAGAGCTTTAGGCTTTTAGCTCTGTTTGTGAGAGGGTGGCATGGCCTGATTCCATGTGCAAAGTGGGCAGATGTGTTCAGTAAGGGTCTAGGAGCTGGAAAAGGCACAAGGAGGGCTGTATTATTCCAAGGAAGAGGAATAAATGGGACTGGTCCTGCAAAGAGTTGACACAGGCCTTGTAGCCAGTTGTTTGGGATGGCATCAGCCCAAGAGGACAGAGCAAATCACCAGGCTCAGTGACCAGGCTGAGGGTTAGGAACAGCACCACAAACTCCTCTTTGCCACAGCAGTGATCAGCTTTGACATGAATAGATTTCAGAGCACTTTACAAAGCTGATTTCTACTCTGCCCATATTTTTAAAGGAGAGTAGAAAACCTAAATGCCCAGAATCACTCTTTAAGAGCCTGGGGTGAAATTTGAATTGCTGAAATGCCCTTGTGGTGTTTTTTCATTTTCTCACTGTAGTTTAAAGACCATGAGCTTTAGGGCACCAATGCCAACTCTCCCTCCTGGTCTGGGGGGAGGCTGCATGTTCCCAGTGGTGGAGCAGAGTGTGAGGAAGGTGGGAGGTGATGTTGGAGAGAAGGGAAACCTGTGTGAGCTGAGCATGGCTGAGGGACTCTGGTGTGTACACCTGCAGCAGCTGAGCAGTGCCCATGGGAAGCAGAGGTCTGTGGTTGAACACTTGATGTTGAGTGAACAGAAACCTCCTTCTGTGCTGCCTCATGCACAGGGGTGATGATTTGGCCCCCTAATCTCAGCCTGTGACTCTGGGTTTTGCAGCATTCCTTTTATTTGCCACGGGAACAAGCTGTGATCCAGCCAGAAAAACAATCTTTGCTCTTGAGCAGGATGAGGATGGGAGCTCAGTCATCAGTGCAGCTTGTGGTTTATCCTGTCCTTTCCCTAGTTTATTAATTCCATAGCCTTTCTGATATAAAAATGAATCCCTTTTCTTTTTAATCCCTTTGCAGCCCTCCCTTTCCCCAAACCCCTGTTCCTGGAAGGAAGAGCCATCCCAAAGACGGTCTTGATTGCATGGGTAAGCACTCTTGGTGGTTTATATTTGCTGAAAAGTATAAAAAGCATATAGTAAAGAGGCTGGATGAAGACTATAAGAGAGTTGACACTGCATGAAAAGTAGTTAAAAGCAATCAAGCAAACCAGCTCCATGGCTTAGGTAACCCTTCAGAATTGACCCTGCAATGATCAAACATAAGCGTTCTCTAAAATCAAAAGGCCCAGAGCATCAAACACAGGCAGGGCTGTTCTTGTTTTCATTAACCCTTCTTGACTCTGCAGCAATACCTTTGGGACTGGTTTGGCAATTAATTGGCAGCAACAAGAGTCCAAATGGGCAGCTGGGGCCCTGAGGTGGATGGATGCAAGCAAGCAAAGCTGTTGAGAGATCTGGGTTGGAAGATGTTGCTGAGGGGGCTGTGCTCTTGTGTTTGCAGACAACTGCAAGGTGCTGAAAAGCTGGGAACAGCCTTGTAGGATCAGCTCATGTCTCTTGTCATCTGGGAGTTGCCCCTTCAGGATCTGGACTTCCTACATAGCAAGCCCCAGCTCTCTAGGGAGTTTCACCTCTTCCACCATGAATAATAATCTGCAATAGTGCAAATGCTGTGAGAGAAACTGTATTGGTGCATGCACACAGATCATAGGTTACTGCTTAATCACTTACAAACATCCAGCTGGTTAAATAATGGAAACTCTGTAATATTGTAATGACTTGCTCTATTAAAAATGAGCAAATGGCAGCCAGCCTGTGGCAGGATAACTCATTGCTGGCCTGAGGCAGGATTTCTAGATTGAGCTGCAGAGATGAAGCTGCAGTCAGCCCTCGTTGCTGAAGGTTTTAATGCTTCCCCTGTGGCACTTTGCTTTGAGACACCTCTGGGCACCGTTGTTCACACGTGGCTCACCAAGAACCTCTTGCCCTGTCCTTGTTGCTCCTCTTGCTGACCATATTTCAGCCATTATGTTCTCTTTTTGGCAATCACACTGAAGTGCAGCAGAGGCCAGGAATGGCCTCTGAGGAGCGGCTGCTGGCCCCAGGCTAAGACAAACAAACAATCAGAAGGGGCTGTGTCATTAGAATTGGATGGAGGAAAAACAGCAGGTGAAAGAAGAGGGTGGAATGACAGATATTTTAATCTCAAGTTATTTGGTGCTACCAGCAATGGCTTCTTGTGCTGTGGATTTTATTAAAAAAATATGTCCTTATCTTGCTTGTCCATCCATCTCTCTCATCATCCAGTGTCTAAACTCTGATGTTTTTAATCCCTTCTGCATATTCTGTCTTTCTAGCACTTAATCAAATAAATATAAGAGTTTGGAGCTCTGGAGGTTTAAATTGGCTTTTAGAGGGGAGGAGTCACATCTGAGAAGAAAGAGGGGAGATATTATCTGGTTAGTCAAGTGCTGGATTTTCTATATTTCCCTGGAAATAGATGGTATCAGAGCAGAGGTTTTGGAGTGGCTGTGTCTAGGCCTGACCCTGCCTGGCCGTCCTGTTTCCACGCTGATTTTTTTGCATTTTCCAAATGCAAATAAGAGGTTTTAGTGCTCTGCTTTGGAAACCAAGCATGGTCTGTGTCAATCCCCTGCCTTGCACTTGAACAGTGTGGGCCATGGTCCATAAATTCAGCAGTTAAACCTCTGCTTTTCTAACCCTGATTTTCCACTGAAGAGTTTGTGACATTGAGCAGATTTCACAGGGACCCTCGGGGTATGTAGGGTTGTTTAAATGAATACCTTGTCACCTCCTTCTTGCCTCTAACTCAGTGTTTCCCATAAGAAACACTCTGGGCATTTCATACTGAGCTGATCTCAGATAAATGTGTCTTCTTCCCTCCTGCCAGATTTTGACATCCCGTTCTGTGAGAGGTTTGGGAAAGGTGGCACCTTCCCAAGGCAGTACCATCTCTCCCAAAGTCGCAAGGACTACAGCGACGGTAAGGAAATGATGGAGGCTCCAGGAGGGAGGTGATCAGCCCTTGATTGCTTGTGACACTGCCTGGGACTGGAAAGACTTGGGGAGGAGAGGTTTCTAACACAGGGAGAAGCACCAAGTGCTTTGGGATTCCCTTGTGTATTCAGAAGGGTGTTCTCTGTGAGAACTGTGGCTCTGCTCTTGGGGAGCGCTGAGCATCTACAGCCTGTCCTCTGCTTACAGCTCCTGTTTTAATTTAGCCATGGGGATGATTGGCATTTCTCATCCCTGGCAGTAGCATCCTTCCTATTCCCCTAAATTGCTTGCTTTTGAGGATGCTTTTTGTGACCTTTACAGCAGGTTTCTCACTGAGCTGTAGGAAATCCCCAAGCAATTTCAGATGAGCTTTCCAGAGTGAGCTTCATCTCTCACTGACACCCCTGTGAAGGCAGGTCTGGCCTTGCTGTGTGGTAATTTGCATGTGGACTTAAGGGATGGCAGGGATAATTTTCAATGTTAATCTCTGCCTGCTCAGTGTTTAATTGTGATTTACAACCAACAAACCCCCTGATGTAATTAAACTGTTGCAAACCCCTCTGGAAAATTTCTGCATTAGATATAATGCCTGCTGTTACCAACTCTTAAATTGAATTTAAAATCTTCACAGGGCTTTGCTTCAGTTCTATTACACTTTCTTCAATTTGAAGAGGTGAGGATCTGGGCAGTGATGTGAGAAGGTGGTGGCAGGTGGATCCAAGTTGGTGTGTGTGTGTTCTGGCTGTAACTTCACCCCTTTTCCCCTTCAGGCCGGAGGACTTTCCCCAGGAGTTACTTCCCACAGGAGAACCTGTTCCAGCTCGTCCCTTCCAGCAGAACCAAGAGCTTTACTGGGGACAGCAAGCTCAGCACCTTGCAGTATGATGAGTACAGGCCCAAGTGTTGGAACAATTGTGAAAAGGGTCTGCAGGCCTTCAGCACCTCCCCTACGAAAGCCAGGAACTGTGAGTGAACCAAAGACCCGAGCGCCTGAGGTCTCAGCAATGCTGGGATTTGGCACAAAATTGAGTTATTGTGACCTGCTGAGTTACTGGACATCAGCTAAGCCAGCCATGGGTAAACTTTGATTGCACTCCCACCATGAGGGACATGGCACCAGCTTCTGTCTCATGAGAAAGGTTTAGTACAACACCCTGTGTCTTCCCTTGGCCTTTGTCTGGGAGCTTTGTGGGGCCAGCTGGTGTTCAGCACTTGCTGGGCTGCAGATGATTGCTTGTGTGTTGGACTGTCAGTGTGGTCACACAGCAGAAGCTTCCCAGAAGACTTGGGGTGTGGGAGCAGATGAATTCTGTTCCTGGGTTTACATTGCTGTCACCCCAGCACCTCAAAATGGCCTTGCAGGTTCCTCTGCTATTGCAAGGCTGCCCATGATATAGAAGCTGGTGCTTTTTGGGCCTGTTTAGTGATGGGTAACATCCTAGAAATGACCAGTGAGATAAAACTCCTTACTGGTCCTGCCTGGGTTGCTGCAGCTATCCTGTATTCTGCTAAACACTCCCACAGCAGAAGGGAAATTCCAGTGTTGGCTAAGAAAACAGTTGCTAGAGGAAAGACTCTTAATGAAATAGGACTCTTCTGGGATTTGTTTGTGCATTATGCTAATGCAGACTGGGACACATTCCCCCCATACCAATAGCACCAGGGTAGTTAAAACTGTTTTGTCCTGGTATCCCTGGGAGAGAGTGGCTCACTGACTGCCCTGTGCTCTGTAGAGTCAGGTGGACCCCGATGCTGAAGTCTCCCTGCTCTGCTCCTCTCTCAACCCTCCCCTCTCTCCTGCAGCCCTGCAGGCACCTGTGAACTGGAGGCTGGGGAAGCTGCTGGGAAGAGGAGCTTTTGGGGAAGTTTATCTCTGCTATGATGCTGACACCGGGCGGGAGCTGTCAGTGAAGCAGGTGCCTTTCGACCCTGACAGCCAGGAGACAAGTAAAGTGAGTACAGGGGCAGGACTTTCTGCAGCACCTTGGGGAATTGTGGGCTGAGGATGGAGGTGTCCATGTCCCCAGAAGACAGTGTGTGGAGACAGGGTGTTGTTTTCCCTCCCTGGAGTAGTTCTGAATGGCTTGTGGCACCAGTCACAGTGCTCTGGTGACTTCTCTGTCTCCCAGTTCCTTGGTTACATTGGCCTGCTCTGTGTCAGATATCTCTTGCAGTTCTGCCTGATCTCCTTTACTTGTGTCCTTCTTGCTCCCTTCACCTTCTCTCCATTCTACTCAGTGACTTCGTTGAAATCTTCCAGAAAAACTTCTTAAACAAAAGTAGTAATAATAATAATAATAATAATAATAATAATAATAATAATAATAATAATAATAATAATAATAACCTGTCTCAAAGCCAAGCCCTGTTTTTATTCTTGCCTTTCCCTTAAGGCAGTGGTCCTTATTTCTGAGCCTCATGTGGTCATGTCTTTGTGGGCAGCTTCACAGCTGCTACAAAAGCTGTGCTCAGCACAGAGCTGTATTTGTGTATCATGTTCCCAAAGACACCATTCCCTTTCATCAGGCAGCCTGTCTGGTTTGTTACAGGAGGTGAATGCTTTAGAATGTGAGATTCAGCTGCTGAAGACTCTCCGTCACGACAGGATCGTGCAGTACTATGGGTGCCTGCGGGATCCTGAGGAGAAGAAATTGTCTATCTTTGTGGAATACATGCCAGGAGTAAGTGTAGTTCCTGCTAGAGATTGTCCTGAGTGGCAGAAAACAGATTTAGGGTTTCCTGGACTTTGGTGAAATTTGTATCTGTCTAGCTGAGCTGCTTTATAGCTGATGAACCAGGCCAAAGCAGTGGATGCATCCCTAAGGCTTAGAGAGCTTAGGATGTGAGTCAGGTGTCATGGTGAAGCCCCTCAACAAGCACTGGGTGCGATGGAAAGCCTTGCAGGCAGGTTTTAGGTTTGAATCCTGCGGCAGGGTGTGTTCACAGTCTGGAATCTGAGCTTGGTGAGTGCGGGACACGATCCAGATCTTGCTCCAAACACTGTGGCCTGAGCCCATCCTTAAGTATTTACTGCAAATCCCTGCAGGACAAGCTAATAGTACAACTGTCCACCCACAGCTGTCACCAATTATTTGTGGCTTTCAGCACGTGTGTATTAAAAACAGTGGTATTCACTTACTCTTCTGTTGAGCTTTTTGTGGGCAGCATTATCCTCTTGTGCATGAGTGGCTTCAGTTTGTGGCATTGCTGATATAGGATGAAATAACCACGGGGGAAAAGATCAGAATGCTTTGAGGGAGTTTAAGCAGGGGCTGGAGAATGCACATGGGTGAGTTGAGCATCTCTTTGTGTTGGGGAGCTTGTGAATTACATCAGCCATTAGACTGATGGTGTAAAACAGCATAATGCTATTTACATTGCTGGAGGATGTGTTCTCCTAAGTCTCTTCTATCCAGCTGGATTTGTTTCCCAGAGTGTGGGAGAATAAACCCTTGTTTACACAGAGATTTGTAAGGTCAGAAGGGACAATTAAGTCATTTGGTTGCAAAAAATTTTGGTTGTTAAGTAAATGTGCTAGAGGCTCCCTGAATGCATCTTGCATGTGAGTGATCAGGTGGACTTCCATGCCTCTGAGTCCCTTCCAAGCCCTGTCCTTCCCCTATCCCTGTGGGAATCTTGCCTTCAGGCCCTAACACAAGGCGTGGACCCAGAGGAGTAAATCCCAGGAACTCCAGCAGTTCCCTTGCTGCTTATTCCACAGCGTGCTGATGTTTGTTAGCAGCCAGGAAACCAGCATTTGATGCAGGGGCAGTGTCCAGCAGAGCTGGAAATTCAGTGTTTGTTTTTTTAAATGATAAAGCTGAGCTCTGACCAAATACAGATTGACTTTGCTGCTGCAACAACAGCTCGTTTGACAAAAGGAACTCAGGGCTCTGATTTCCAAGGCCAGTGGGAGTGAGGGAGTTCCCAAACCTTGCAGGACAGCAGCTCTGCAAAGCTGGGTCTGGCCAAGCTTTCAGCTTAAAAGAGTCAGTTTGGCAAAACCTTCACAGGGCTGAGTTTGGGTGCACCCTTTGGCTGCCATTCTTATGATGGCCCTCAGTTTATAGATGACTTTGCAGTTTCTATCCTATTCTATTCAAGCCCATAAACTTGTTTTTTAAATTCTACTTGGAAAACAGAATGGTCCATTTGACCACAGGCCTTAAAGAGCCAGTTTCCCCTTCTTGTTTGATATCCCCTCATCAGGGTGAGGGAGGGCAGGATAAGAAATCTGTTTTGGTTGTGCTGAGGGAACGTTCCCTGCAAACAGGTTATATTGAGGGGATCATTTAGAGCATCTTGGGTTGCTTCAGCAGTGCTGAGAAAGGAAGAGGAGAGGTCCATCCACAGGATCACCAACAGCCTCAAAAAAGCCAAAGCAGTAGCTGGGCAGAGCAGCAGCAGAGATGGGTGGATGTGGAAAAGCTGATAGAGTTTGAGGGGCCGGCTTGGAGCAGAGCAGCCACTGTTCCCAGAACAGGACTGGCAATCTTGGATCAACCCCAGAGCTGCAGGACAGGCAGAAACAGGATCAGTTTCCCCTCCCACTTCCCAGCTAACCTAAATAGAGGAGGTAGAGCTGAGTGTGAACCCCAAATCTGCCTCTGGTTCATCCCTGCTAAAATCCAGCTCTGGCACAGTGAGACACATCCATTTCCAAGTGAGCCAAAAATACAGCTAAAACCAAGGGGATCAACCTGCAGCAGGTGATAAATGTCTGCACCCCTGCTTCCCTTCCTCTTTGATCAATACCATCAAACCAGTTCGAGCCTGCATGCCTGGGTTAGAAATTCAAGGACTTGCAAATTATCTACCCTGGGTGGTCTTGTTGGAGCAGTCCCTTGTGGGGCTGGTTGTGCCTCATGGCTGTAGGTTCTCCTTGCTGTGCAAAGTTTTGGGAGGAGGTTTTCAAAGACTGACTCATTATCTTGACCCTAAAGAACTGGCTCTCTGCTCTCCTGAAAGGAGACTGTAGACAGGTGGGAGTTGGTCTTTTCTCGCAGGTAACAAGTGGTAGGAAAAGAGGATGTGGCCTCAAGTTGCAGCAGCACAGATTTAGACTGGGTATTAGGAACAATTTCTTCACTGAAAGGGTTGTCAAGCATCAGAATAGGCTGCCCAGGGAAGTGGTGGAATCACCATCGTTGGAAATGCTCACAAAAACATGGTTTAGTGGTGGACCTGGCAGTGCTGGGTTAATGATTGGAATGGATGGACTCAGAGGTTTTTTCCCAACCTTAAATATTCTATGAAACTAATTAATCGAGTTGATCTTCCCGTTTGAGTTGGAATTCCTCGTCAGTTTGGTCCTTCTCAGTGAGCTGTTGGTGACACCCCTCCAGCCACTAGAGGGGGAAGAAGGTCTGTGGTGTTGGCAGGGATCTGGGACACAGGAACATGTCTGTGGTCTGTTCACTTAGTGGATTTCTGCTGTTCCTACAAGTAAGGTTTGGGGTATTTTTTGAGCTGGAAGACGGAGTGGTCAGGAAGATTTAAGAACTGGCTGTGACATGATGGTTTCTCTGGTCCTTACAGTTGGTGTGTGTTGTTTCTTTGCAACAGGGCTCAATAAAGGACCAGCTAAAAGCTTACGGTGCTCTGACCGAGAATGTCACACGGAAGTACACCAGGCAGATCCTGCAGGGAGTCTTCTACCTACACAGCAATATGATTGTCCACAGGGATATTAAAGGTCAGTGGATGATAGAGAGGCTTCTTGCTTGCTTGGGTTTGTTCAGCCCAGCCTCCCCCCTGCCCCAGCACAAATCCTTGTGCACAGCACAGTGCTGGGATCTTCTATTTGAAGTATTCTTGCCCCTGCCCTTCACCAGATTGAAAGATGAAAATCTTGAGCAAGCAGCTGAAACCAAAATCTTGTGCTGTTTTCTCTCCCAAGTATTATTGTTAGGTGCCCTTACACGTCTGAAAATCTGTTGTAAAATATCCAAGAACTGAGAGGCTCTGGCGTTTGGAGAGGTCTGAGGCTCCTTTCTGGTGTCTGTGGGTGGGCAGGATGATCTGTTGGCCCTCATGCACTGCTCAGTTTTGGCAAACCTGCTGAATGGGGGGACACTGGTGGGATATCTCTTGGATAGCTGCTGCCTTAGGACAGAAGGATTTGAAATAATGCAGAGTCCAGCCCCTTTGGGCTCTCTCCTGCCTGGCTTTTGGCCTGTGCTCTTCCTGCTCTCCTCACTGTAGCCACTTCAGGTTGCTGCTTCATTTCTTGAGGGTCTTGTCTTTGCTTCTCACCCCAGGTGCCAATATTCTGAGAGATTCTGCTGGAAATGTGAAACTTGGAGATTTTGGGGCCAGCAAACGCATCCAGACCATCTGCATGTCTGGGACTGGGATTAAATCTGTCACAGGAACACCATACTGGATGAGCCCCGAGGTTATCAGCGGAGAGGGCTATGGAAGGAAAGCTGATGTGTGGTAAGGAATGCAATAAAAAACCCCACCACTTCTACTTAAATCAAACAATCCTTTTGGGAAGCTGTAATGGGAGCAAAAGGTATAGCTAATAGTTGGAAGCAGTGCAGAGGATGGAAAATAGAAGATACATGTTAGGATCAACTGTGCAGATATCCAGAGGAAACAACTTGTAGCTGAGTTCCCAAAACAGGAGCACTCAGAATCACTTGCCTTTGGAAGCTCTTGTCTTGTGTGAGTCTCACATCCAGCTCTTTTAATTCTGGAAAGCAGGTTGATAACAAAGCTCACTAAAAGACCTGTTGAGTTTTGGTGGCCCTGATTTTGGGTTCACTAAGCTCAGCTCAGAGGCTCCAGGGATCTTCAGTGGCATTCCCAAATCTACTGCTGGATGTTTTCATGTTGCTCAGGCACAAAGATAACCAAAATCATTGGCTGCTTGTGAATGTGTTGAGCTGTGGAGGATGACAGATGGAGCCTGGAGGAGTTGGGATGGCAGTACTAATCTTCCCAGTATGTGAGGAGGAAGCAATGTCTTCTCAGTGTGGGAGGATGCCCAAGCAAAGAGGGTCAACATTAAATAATCCTTCCAAGAGAGCTTGGAATTGGGTGGGAAAACCTAGAAAGTCCTTAGTGGGCATCCACGTACCCTGCACCTCCTGCACTGGCTGATGGGAGGCAAATGTTTAATTTTTAATTTTTTTAGGCCGAATAGGTTTAGGATAGGTTTAAATTTTTAGGATTGTTCATGAATAGAGGTGGCAGAGTATCTCTGCTGAGACCAGGATTCCTGAGCAAGCTGAGGGAAACCTCTCAGGCTCTTTGCTGCTCATCCCACATGTTGCTTCTCAGGTACACAGCTTCCTTGGGAGCTGCATGCCATTGCTGAAACTGTGCTGTCTGAAGCTGTGCATTGGTTTCCCTTCAGGGGAGGCTCCAGCGAGCTTTTATGAGACTCAGTATCTGCTAGCTAACTTAGCATCTCCCTGAGCTTTTATAGAACTTAGTATCTGCTAGCTAACTTAGTATCTCTCTGAGCTTTTATAGAACTTAGTATCTGCCAGTTAACTTGGCATCTCCCTGAGTTTTTATAGAACTTAGTATCTGCCAGTTAACTTAGCATCTCCCTGAGCTTTTATGAGACTTAGTATCTGCTAGCTAACTTAGTATCTCCCTGAGCTTTTATAGAACTTAGTATCTGCCAGTTAACTTGGCATCTCCCTGAGTTTTTATGAGACTTAGTATCTGCTAGCTAATTTAGCATCTCCCTGAGCTTTTGTAGAACTTAGTACCTGCCAGTTAAAGTGGGCAGAATTGCCATCAGCTGTAAGGCAGGCTTGTGTGTTCACTCCTGCTGTGGGAGTTGAGTGCCCAGTGTGACCAGGGAGCTTCAGGGTCCCAGACATTCCAGGGATATGTGCCCATCTCCCGCAGGCTCGCTGCCTGCACAGTCCCTTCAGGCAGGTGCAATCCCAGAGCTGGTTAGATTTGAGCTGCAGGGCCAGCGCCTCAGTTCCTCACCCTGCGCTTGGCGTTCTCGCAGGAGCGTGGCCTGCACCGTGGTGGAGATGTTAACGGAGAAGCCGCCCTGGGCAGAGTTCGAGGCCATGGCAGCGATTTTTAAAATCGCCACGCAGCCGACCAACCCCCAGCTCCCCGACGGCGTCTCCAGCTCCTGCCGCAACTTCCTCAAGCAGATCTTCGTGGAGGAGAAGCGGAGGCCGACGGCCGAGGACCTGCTGAGACACCCTTTCATCAGCTGCGGGCTCTGAGCGCTGGCAGCGGGGATGGGAAGCGCTGGCAGCGGGGATGGGAAGCGCTGGCAGCGGGGATGGGAAGCGCTGGCAGCGGGGATGGGAA